ACTACTACTACTGCTACTACTACTAATACTACTACTACTACTAATTCTACTACCACTTCTTCCAGTATTATTACTACGACAATAACCTCGTTAACATCGAAAACTATTCATCATTCAACTTTAGGCTTTGAAAAGATCCCGCGACATAATTTGGATACGATGCCACCATTGATTCCATTGAAGCCTAATTTTTTTGGTAGCACTTTTGATGGTATATTTGTGCCATGGTTTAATGATCCCCAACTTACATTATGGCCTGAAGGATTATTTCGAAGAGGATAAATGAATTGCTTGAAATTGTGAAATATATTTTGTTCATCAATGAAACATTTCTAAATATTACATATTATGCGTTTAATTTTTGATTTTTTTCCGACAAAGGAAATGAAAAATTATAAAAGTGAAAAAATATAATGAATGTTATAGTGTTAAATTGTTGAACAATGAAATGATTTAAATATCAAAAAAAATTTTGAAAAAAAAAATATTTGTCAGCTATTCCATTCTATTCCAACGAATTGTTGAGGAAATAAGTAAATGACTTTTTAATTGATACAGATACTTGTGTAGCAATTATTGAAATTATTGATTATGAATTTAAAAAAGTAGATATTACTTATTTGGCTTTTACATATAATTGTTTATTTCGATAACATATAAATTAAAGACAGGAAAGATTGTTATCGCTCCACGTTTCACTTCCGTGACCATTTAGGAATATCGAGATTGAAATGATTCATTAAAGCAGGAATAAATCAATGGCATTTTATATGTTAGATAATTGATTTTTAATAAACTGTAAAACTGATATTTACGATGTAAAGATTAATTTTTCCTTGGAGTTTATTGTTTGTTTAATTACTTATGTATTATGTGATAATTCTATTGTAAACATGCTAATGAGGTATATTAATATAAAGTTTTATCTTTTTCTTTTATTTTTCCTTTTCTTTTGATATGACCAATTGATGGATTGCTATTGAAAAAAATTTTCCGATTAAAATTACACTCTTTTTTTTTCGTATTTCTTCCATTCAACAATTATATATATATGTATATTGAAATGACCAGAACAAACATTGCAAAGAAATAACATGAAAAGAATGTTTCACAACAAAAATGAACATTCAAATAGTATTTCAGAATTTCTTTTTTCTCTCATTCTTTTCACCTCTCTTTTTTTTTCGTAAGAATTGACCGAAGGACAGAGAGTAGTTTTATGGAAAATGATCACTTTCAGCTAATTCTATTTTCACCTTTTTCTTTTCTTTTTTTTTTTTTTGTTAAACTCTGACATAAAATAGAAGTTCATCGAATGCTATAGTTCTGATAACAAAACAGAACAAATTTCCGCTATGTAACAAATTGGATGTTACCATTCCGAGTATCAAAAAGAATGACAGTTCCGGTACGGAAGAAAATAAGTGGAATAGAATAAAGTGACATTAATTCGAATGAAGAGAAAGATGGTAGTTTTTTTTTTTTTTTTTATAATTATCAAATAATTGATGAAATAGTATATGGAAGGTCTTTGGCAAAGCGTTTTTAGCTCATGCAAATTTCCTTATCGATTCCTTCTCTGTCATTCAACCTCTGTCGCAATATGCAAATTATCGCTCACTTTGGACAGGCCATTGAGGTATGAGAATTATCGAATGGAAAGATGTTGCATGTCGAAATGTATCAATCACACCATCTCTGTGAATCTGTCTGTCCTGTGTATGTGTATGTATTTGTGTATGTGTGTGTGTGTGTGTGTGTGTGTGTGT